TGTTTGAGTGATACATGAATAAGATAAAGCGAAGCAACTCCTTTTGTTTAATCCTTAAAGTTAACTCAGATGTAGAATCAAATGCACCAAATGATGCCAAAATTGCAATTCTCTAAGGCAGCCACAAATATATGAAAGATCGAGGTCTATGTAAATTGTGATAAGCAGACCTTTTATTGTGTGCCTTCTCTTCAGCAACCGAAGTGACTGTCCGGCCTTCATAATCGTGAGCTGGATAGAGCAAGAATTCGTCAGGAAGAGACAAGATTCGTCCATGCACCGAATCATATAGGCTATCGGAAGAGCCCTGTTGAAAATCAGTGCGTCCACAACCACGAATTAGGAGTGCATCTCCCGTGAATGCCATACCTTGGTCAAATAAGACGAACGTCATACAGCCATGTGTGTGACCTGCGATATTAGATGTATCAGGAACCTGATTAATAAATGTAACTGCGAAGAAAACTATAAAATATAGGTACTTATCATATTAAAAGGTAACAAAAATAACCTATAGGCGTAGATAATTAAAGCAATAAAAAATTGTGGGGGGGGGTTATAAGTAAGAAAAAATGCGTGAAATTCAAGTAGTCTCAGAAAGTATGCGATAATCGAATAAAGAAATGTGATTTTCCCCCAATAAACTAGACGAAACAAAACAGTTGTTAAAGTATTAAGATGGTCCATATATGGTTTCAAAATATATTAATATAAAATTCAGCGTTGAAAACTATGAGTTGAGCCTAGATGAGGAAGTGAAAGCAAGAGATTGACTGTATGTTGCATTGAAAATATCGACTGTAGAAGACAGACATATTGACATTGTGATCATATAAGGGGCAAGTTTCAGCTAAATATATCTAAAAAAAATAACAACTCAGAAAAGAATTGTACAACTAGTCCTTAAAATACCTATGGAGTGACTATTCCAGAATAATTGATAGTCTCAAAAACGACTTAGACTGAAAATCAAAACGTAACCTTAGCACTTTAGTGGACCTTAATATTCGTAACTTAGAAAAAAGACTGGAACAAGCCAAAGTACGAGTAATTAAATAATTGTTAAGCATATTTCCATTTCGAGTGAAGAGAGTCGAAGGTCGATCCCAACAGAAGGCAATGACGGATAACTCTTGACCAGATATAACTTGGCTTTACTAGGACATTCTCTCAAAAATAATATCCTTCGATTCTAGTGAAAATGTGCTAAGCTCTAGTCCATAGTATTGCGAAAAACATCAGAGAAGGGTACCATCCTTACAATCAAATTCAAGCTAAAAGTAAAGAAAACTCAAAGACTCATCCATAAAAAGTTGCATGTGTACACTATAGCCGAGCTCTTTTATGAGGCATAAAGTGGTTCGGTTAGTTCCAGTCATATGACAACCACAGAGCATGTCTGTACCCGTATGCGCATGTGCCTGCATGTGTTCGTATATGTACGAAGCAAGAAGCGATGGCTCAAAGTAAAAAAAGCAAAAGTGACATATGTTCTCAGCCAACAAGGTTTGATGTCCACCATGACCCAGCTCTGTATGTATTTTAAGCCATCACTCCGATTGCGCAAGGTTGGTCAAGTTTCTCTCTAAATGAAGAAAGTAATGTAGTTTCTTTGAAAACCATTTTTATTCCACATTTCCTTACTAGTTCGTCTATGCTTTAAGGAAGAATGCGGGAAGGCAATTAAAAAACAAGGGAAAAGATCTCCCTATCTCTTACTTATTGCCATTCAAAAAAGAATTCTTTATTAATCAAATGTTAATTTAAATCAATCATGGAGATAATTATTCTCAAGAAATATTAGTTTTAGCCTACTAGATTAATTCGAAAATATGAATGAAAAATGGATTCCTAAAAATTCCTTAATGATAATATTGTGACATAATTCCCCATTTCGAACCATAACAGTTAGCCGTGTAATCTCAACACGTTAACCACTAGGCCACAGTGCCACGACATCCTTTCAATCAGAGATAGGGCAAATCAAATTTCAAAGCCAGACATTTTTCCAGATTACATTCTTTAATGAGATTGCCGATGAATCAAAATTGTATTTGCTATAACAATTGACTGCATCATTATATTTCGTTTTATAAGTAAGTTATATAACTGACTTAATGTTAGCCTCGAAAATCTACTTATAAACGAAAAATAAGTAATGTAGTCTATTGTTATA